TAGTGCTTCTCAAAACTAACTTAATTTTTAGTGGTAAAAAGGGAAGAAGTAAGAATCAATATTACTGAGAAAGGAATTTGTATTAATATGTGTATTATTTGTGCTTAGTTAATACTATTCAAGTCACTTTAAACAGTAATTTGTGTAAATTTGAAACATTTTATTTTGGGAGTGCAAATATTTGGAATAGGTAAACAAGCACTTAATGTTATTTGGACTGAAAATTCATTATGTTTAGTGTTACAACTTGAAGAAATAGTGTAACGACTTTAGAAAAGGGGCTTAAAATATTTCACATAAAGAAATATTTGGTTTGAATCGCAATAATTGGGGTTTCATTTGAAGTTGTAGATGTCTTTGTTTTCTTGTTATTTTTACAATCTTAAAAGGTGAATTTGCAATAAATAATTTGTTATTTTAATCAAGGAACATTTTTTACTTGGGTTTTCTCAATCCAATGATAACAAAGATTATTGTTAGCACCCTAGTGGTGTCCGAAATATATAAATTTTTTAACATTATATTCAACGTCTCTAAATGGTTTATGTGATTTAATTAACAATTGAACAAGTGGTATTTCTTCTATTCTCCAATTTGAAAGTGGTCAAAATTAAAGAATATATAATTTATATGCTTGGACTTGCAACAAATGGTAGGAACAGAGGAGGGTTGATACCAAATACACTACTTTAGAAAAGTAAAATATATGGCAACAAGTTTTTCAAAAACAGTTTATGAAACTACACATGGGAAGCTTGATGAAGACAAGCCATTCTTGTAGCAACTTTATTCTTTCCCCAGTTTCTCCTGTTATTGCCACTGCCATTATCCAGACACCTGTTACATTTTGTGAATATCACTTTTATTATGGTGTAGAAATCTTGTTTGGTCATACTTAGACATTGGTTATCATAAATTATTTATTTCCAGTGATTTTTTTTGCTATCCCTGTTTTTTTAGAGAAAACATTGCCATCACATGAAAGAAAGGTGAGTGTAGAATTACCAATTTTAGTATTTATTTTTAATATTCATTAATGTATTGCCTTTTATAAAAGGTGAAAGGAAAGAAACTCTGTTATTGCAGTCAGTGACTTAAGCTTATAATAAGTAAAATGATTTACTTTCTGAAATATAATGAAAGATTTTATGATAACTCTGGCATTTTGTTGGCAGTAATTGTATTGAAAAACTCAATTTTCTTTTTTACCAACTGATTAGAAATTTTAAAATGTTCATAGTCAAATCTTTATCCATTAGTTTTTGTTGAACAAGGAATGTGTAAAGTTCTTGACTTACATTCATTCATGAGTTTCTTCCATTATATTTGTTTTCAGCATATGCAGTTTTGATACCTTTCATAGGACTTTGGCTTGAGCAACTCTGAATTAATTTTAAAAAGGAAATCCCAATTTCTTATGTTTTACCAGGGTAAACATTTTGTTCTGCACAGGAGTATGCAACCAGAGATCAAAGCAGCAATACTATTGTCACCCTTCAGCCCATGTTTCCATTTTATTTCACATGATGTGGATGAAACATTTGGCCCTAGCTTTGTAATAAATTACCACATACAGTCCAACTTCCAAGCAACACAGTATTAAGCAGTCACCCTGTATTCAGCGGTGGGTTTTCAAAGCCCCAAAAGTTTAACCCCTTAATTACTGTTTTCTCCTCTAATTTATTAAGCAGTGTTGGTTACCCTTTACAGAGCCCAAACCGGTTCAACTGCATCAAGCAATTTAGTCTAAGTAGGAAATTTGGGCTGAAAGGAGACAAGAAAGTATAATTTGAAGAATGTTTCAAAACTTTAATTTGAACTTTCATGGTATTCTACATGGCCCTCTGGTGAAATTCCTTTCTGTAAACTTAGAATAAATTAATAATGCTTTTTTTCAAGTTTTTTTCCAAATTGTACTTAGAATGTTTAAAAGGAACATCAGGAAAAAGATGAGATGAAATTTCCACAAGAACTTTGAAATGAAGAATTCAACTTTCTACTCTAAAAGCTTGAAATTATCTTTTGATGTAATCAGAGGAACTGGTGTCTTCTCTTTGTCCTGAACTGATATATTAGGTTACAATTATATTGACTGACTGATGCATTTATTTTGCAGGTTCGCAGTCCATCTAGACCAAAGTCCTGTGAAGTGCCTGGAATGTAAGATTTTTTAGTTCTTTTCTTTCCCATGGAGTGTATTATTAATCTTATGTTGAATATTTAAATAGTTATGTTCATTGTGCTTAGTAATTAAAAAGTAATTATTGTAAGATTGTGGAGGAAAAGTTTTAATAATAATAAAATGCAATTACAAATTGTAAATAAAGATAGAGTTTAAAATCCCAATTAGCCAGAGGCAAACTATTTAGCCACATAAAAAAGCACAGCCAAGGAGTTGAACTTGGGAAAACCAAGAACAAATCCAGTGAGTAATAGTGGAGTGCTTGAACCCAGGACCAACAGATTCCATTCCAGCATCCTAACCACATAACCACCACTAATTCCCTCACACTGAGTCAGGATTTCAGTTTCAGAATTGATCATATAATGGAGCACTTTTTTCCTTGCCAGTCAGAGCTTCAGCTTTGCAATCCATGTATCTTGTTGATTAGTGAGGTTTTTAACTCTCCAATTGTCTTTTTAATGGTTTACAGTTTGATCAGTAAAGTGCTTTTGCATTCATTTGTTAAATGTAGATAAACTACTCTCAGTGTGTGAGAACCTCTTTTTTTGAGAAAGTTACTTCCTCAACTTTTCCTACTTGTAGTTAATGTTAAACCGAAATTGAAAATGCAGTGGGAAAAATTTGGTTTGGGTGTTTCGTTTGGCATAAGTCAAGAGCTTTTTTGGGGTGCTTAAAAACTTGTCAATTCAGGCTTAAGAAACTTCTGATTCAGTCAAAATGGATAGCAAGGGAAACTGATATATTTCTTGGTTTAAGAGAACGCCTCATCACAAGTACTGATGACTATTGTTGTGAAGAACCTAGAAATTTTATAAAATTTGAGATTTATTCTTTTGTTAAACTGTACTTGACTGAGGTTTCACTTCTTCCTCCTATTTTGATTACCAGGAGTTTCCCAGCAGAACACATGTCACAGACAAGCCCCAACTTACCAATAGCCACTGCCAGTACAGGTGGTTCTCTTCCAGACCTCACTAACCTGAATATCATTCCTTCTCCATTAATAACACCCCTTGACAATGATGAACATGTGAATCAAGCTTTGTCTCCAACCCAGCTTCAAATGTCACAAAGACAGAGTCCTGTTCGACGGCCAGTAGCGAATCAGCAGCAAATGAGGAAACCACAATTCACTGACCAGATACCATTAATGGATGCCAATCTACGGCCTCTTGAAAGCAGGTTGCAACAATTCCAGTTATATCCCCAGAATAATGATTTCGGGTCACATGGAGGCTCTGCCATAACTACAAGTGCTTCACCAACACTTTCCCCCACATCATCGGCACCTATGACTCCACTTTTCAGTAGCCTTCCCACTAGTCCATTGTCATCATTTAATCCTGAGCTCTACTTTAAACAGCAACAACAACAGCAATCAAATACACAAGCATTACAACAACAACAACTAGAACAGTTTTCTGTGCATCGCCCAGTGGCAGTAGGAGGGATGTTGAATTCTTCAATGCAACTGCCCTTCCAAACTTTGTTGGCACAAACACCAACTACTATTCCAGGTCAGGGAATGCCTAGCTTAGCACATTTTTATGGTCCAGGTCATGCAAGGGTACCAGATTTAATTGTGACTGATGATGATGGAGTCAAATCAGACTTTGCAAAAGATCTTAGTACAGCCATGGGCCATATTGGTGGGGATGATGCTGGTGATGTGTATGCCCCTGATGATCCATTTCAAAAGGTTGTGCTTGATCCATTGGACATGGAAGGCTTTCAAATGTTGGCTGGCCAGGATTCAGAGCTCACTGATGCTGCAACAGAAGATCAGTTCCGTTTGGACCGCCTTGGGTAGGTTTGAATCATTCTTTGAATATATCAACAAAGTTGAAATGGTAAATTGGCCACCGTTAGGATTATAAAAGCTGACGTTTCGAGCGTTAGCCCTTTGTCGAAGCGAATAGGGGAATTGTGGGTTGTGTGTGCTTTTAAAGGCGGAAAAAGGAGCAAAGTGATTGGTTGGCCAATCACCTAGCTCCTTTTTCTGCCTTTAAAAGCACACACAACCCACAATTCCCCTATTCGCTCTGACGAAGGGCTAACGCTTGAAACATCAGCTTTTATAATCGTAACGGTAGCCAATTTACCATTTCAACTTTGTTGATATATTCAAATTATTTCGTTACCCCCACCGACACAGCCCCAAACAGTTTCTTTAGAAACTATCAGCCTTTATTCATTTGAAACATTCTTAACTCTTTCACTCAAGATCTCTTAAATAATTCTCATGCTGTCCGCCATGTATCGCTTATGATTTTTGTTTTGAGAATGGAATGTTGGATCCAATGATTATCTTTTTATTGAGATTTTTTTATTTCTTATCACCAGTCTACTTGATACTGTGGAAGAGTTAAGCCATTCACCTCAGTCTTCAATTATACTACTCTCTGAATCCACTTTTAAAAACCCCCCTTTCTATGGAATTCCTGGGAAAATACCTTCTGCCTTTTTCCTGAAAATTTCTTATTGCTTTGCTGTGTTTCCTTACAGTTAATGGATAAAAGATGTTACTTTAAGCTTTTTGTTTTGCATCATTCTATCCTTATGAGAGACATAAGGATATCCTGGATGTCAGCACAATAATCAAGTGTTAATTTTTTCTGGGAGGGGGGAGGGAAAGTTTTATTTTCTTTTTCTTTTTGTTTTTTTTATAACTTCTTTTTTTTTTGGCCATAGAGGGTTGTAATAGTCAGTCTTGTGTCAAACTGATGTATTGTCTCATTGCAGAGCTACAAGATTACATTAACAATGAAAAAAATACTTCTAAAAGAAAGATGTTGTATGTTTGCCTTGAATCAGCGAGGAAGATAATGGAGTGCTTCACATTTCTATGTGGAATTTCTTAGTAATGTCATTATCATGGTGACCTGTTTTTATCCTGCGGGTAACTTATTTTTTAATGTACATGTATATCAATTAATTAATGAAAATGCCATGCCATGTAAAGTAAAATAAGTTCTAAGTAGTATTTTATTCGGGGTTAAAAGTAAAATAGCAATAAGATGGTTCTTACCAAAACTCAACCCTTTTGTATCCATAATTATTATGTATGTGTATCATAGAGCAAATGAAGTTATGCATTCCAAAGGAGTTCTCTCTTCTGCTAACAACTGCCTATCAGCAGTATCTGTATGTGCATTATGTCACAATGTATAATGTATATGTGGGACTGCCAACAGTTTTCACTGTTAAGATTCATTTTAACTGAAGACATTACAACAAACATATTTGAAAAAGCCATAAGCCATTCTAGTGAACTGGTACTCCAAGGCAAGCTATGTAGTCAAGAAAATGGGAAAAGTGCACCCAGTCCATGTCAACATGTCAAACATTTGTTTACCAACAGCTGGGATTGGCAGCTTTTTGTTGGTTTTCAGACAGTCTGCACATTCAAGGATAAGCAAAGAACATACCAAATTAGCTTATTCTTATTAACAAATGACTGATATCAGTAACATGAGGGGTATATGTGCATCTCAGAAACCCCTGGGGGGGGGGGCTTGAAATCTCTCCCCGCAGTCTGGATAGATTTATCTTAAAATTACAATTTTGGTTGAAACTCTTCTAGGCCTATTTGCGTTTTGGTAGTCCAAAATGCACAAAACTTGGTTACCATCTTTTCTTTTTATAAGATATCAGTGTGTGTGGACTGTGGTTTACTTATTAGATGGAACTAAAGAATCGAAGAAGAGGAGATTATGCAATTTATCATTTCTTTAAATGCTGCTGGAGTCTCTCACTTGTCCATTGCTTCCACTAGAGTTGGTCAAAAATTCCATCTTATAAGTAAACTATACATAAGAAATAGTATATTTTGAGCTTCGTTACAGAACAAAGAAAGTTGCTTTTCATTGTAGCAAATAACAACTTTCCTAAGCTTCAAATGGTGTGCCAATGATAAAGACGTGTGAAATTTCAAGATTATTAAGAGCTAGATATTAACATGAACTGAACACAGATGTCTGAGAAGAGTTCTATCGTCAAGTATTGTGCAAATGTTTTATGGTTCTTGTTTAAAAGATTCTGTGTTATTTTGTGGTCTTTTAATGATTTTCATGGTGTAAGATGCTAGTTATTTGTTTGCATGAAGTCTTTGCTGGAAGGGGTCGTAATGCTAGGTACATGAATGAAAAAGAATGTAGTCAGTTGAATAGTAAGACAAAAAACTAATCAGTTGAACTGGTATAAATGTTTTTCCCATCCTGTTTCACCGTGACACGTTTATGGTTACTCTGGTACATCCTGACGTCGCTGTATTTTATCTTACGTAAGAGACTAGTTATTACTAGGTAACTCACACTTACTGATGGTGAATTATAAAAAGAGGCTTGTAACCATTCATTTTGGCACAGTTTCTTGTGTACGAATGAGGGATGCCACCACAAAAAGCCTTTGATTTAGCTTGTAAATAATGTACATTTATGTATCCATCAAATATCGGCTAAATAGTTGAAAATATATTAGTTTCATATCTGAAAGACCACGGGAAATTATCGATGTCACATGAAACAGTTTGGTGCGTGGCTAGTAGGGATACGTATGTTTACCATTTGAGCTCATGTCCCAACCTAACAGATGTGACATGGTTTTAGGTGGTGTGGTGGATGCCTCCCTATTCTGAATATTATTTTAACGTTATTTTTGTGATAAAAATCCAGTAATAACTTACGTCAGTTAGGAAAAGTTAGCTTTTCTGTGGTATTAAGTGAGCAGACTTAAGAGAAGTGAAGTATTTAAACAGTAGGGCACATACTTAACTGATATCGAATTTGTCCTGGAGTAACATTAAAATTCACAAGTTAGTCTTTGGTTTCTTGGTTTTGTTCTCCTAAAGGTCACGTAGGAATTGTTATGAGATAAAAGAAAGCTTCGTTTCTTGTTTTTTTTTTTTTTTTTCTTCGACAGCTTGTAATTTTTTAGATTCCCTCCCAGCCCTGGAAAGTGTTGCAATTTTCCTTGACCAGTGGGCGTGTCTATCAACAGGAGGGGTGACTGGTGAGGAGGTCAATGTCGTCGACAACGAGTTCATCTAGTGACGTACGCAGTGCACAGAATAAGTTTTTACTGAGGCTGAAAATTAATCAAGAAAAGGAAAGGGTTGTAAATTTAACATTAGCATGGTTTTCAACGATTTCAAGGCCGGGAAACGGTTAGGGTTCGTACAACTGAACAAATGTCATTTGTACATCCGTTTTTGGCTAAAACATTCGACTCGACCGGCACTCGGCCGATAGTAGTGTCGACCGTAAACATGATCTGGTTATAGTTACAATCAGAAAGGTCAATAACAGTCGTGTGCTGATGAAAGTAATCTTTATTTGTATAAACAATAATTGGTAAACTAGTTGCTTTTGGGCTAGGACCTGATCGCTAGGTGTCCACCAATCCAGGTTGTACATGGTCTTAGCGGCACGTACATGTATCTTCTCCAGCTCAATAGAGAGCGATTTGCCACAGGAGTCCCATACAACCAAACCATACGTGACTGATTGTAAAATTACTTTGAAATAAAAATCAGCTCTTGCCGTAGTCGGTAAAAAATACAAGGAACTGAGAAGATTCAGTTTTTTTGTGAAGGACTTATTTACTTTTTTACGTTAACGTTCCAATTAAGATCACTGTCAAACTCAACTCCTAAGCACCTAGTCGACTTGACTTGATTGACAACACTGCTCTCCAATGACACTGCTTGCAACGGCCCAACAAACTGGCCGCGCATTGAAATCATTTACTCTGTTTTACTGCAGTGAGGTATGAGGTGATTACGGCAGCACCCCTCATACAACTTCTGGAGGACGCTGTGTCACGGGAAAATTTAGTGATTTTTCCGCGTGGTTGTTTAAGCATATTTATTCGTTGTTTCCGGTATTCCAGCCGTTCTCGTTTCATTGTGATGTTTCAAAAAGACAAAATTCCACAGTAGTTTTTGGAAATCAATTTTATATTGTTACTTTGTCTTCATTGTGCAGCTGCCAGCCGGTACTATTGTTGTTAATTCTTGTGAAATTTTCGGTAAATATGTGTTGATGGTCTTTCTGGCAAAATTGGTTCTCATCAGTGGTAATTGGCAGCTGAGTTCATACTCGTAACTTCAATTTCCTTTCACACGATCAAACTAACACCAACCTCGCTTTGACAAGCAGACACTTTTAATTTTTTTTCACTTTGTTTTATAAGCTTCTCTATTGTATTTACGATAGGTATCTTTTCAATATCAAAGCTGTAAATTGTCACCTAAGTTTTCTATTTTTAATGGCCTCGAGTTTATTCAATCTGCTTTTTCAATTTCGACATATGAATACTTAGATATAAGTAATTTGGCTTCAAAGAGACCTTTTTCGCTCTTTTGTATTCTCAACAAATATGGTGAATTTAGAGAATAATACAACCTCACACCAGTTCATATTTAAGCAAGTACTTCATAAAGGTTTTTTTGATTACTATTTTGAAGACGCTAGAGGTCTTGTCAGTTGTGGGCCCGACCTAGAATAAAAGTTACTGTGGAACCAATACGCTGTCTCGTCCTTGACGTCCGTAAAAGCTCGCTCGAAGCAGGTCGCCTGCACCAGGGAATCGTGACGAGTTTCCATTCTCGCTGCCGAGTCTTCTCTACCAATCTAGTTACCCCCGTTATATGTTGTGCCTTCCGTGTGAGTTCAATTTGTGCGCGAAAACCCATCGTCACAGCTCAGTGTTTAAGACAATGACAACCTAGTCGGGAGATAACGCAGCCACGTTAGATGGTCGTGTCGTCCGCATACATGTGAATTTCGCATACACTGACTCCGGCTATATCAGGCAGATCGTTGCAAAACAACGAAAACGGGTGGGTCCCAAAATAGATCTCTGCGGCACGCCAAACTTCACTGACAGGTAAGGCGGTTTCGGACTGGAGTCCATTTACGAATGTAACCACAGGCGGCCCAAGCTCTCTTTGAGAACCACACAAGGAACACAATTTGCATATTTATAAGGATTTGTATGGGATTTTCTACAAGATATCCACAGAGATAGTTAAAAGTGAAAATATTAAATAAAAATGGCTTACCTTGTTCCATACGTGTGCTGTTTGCTCCTGGTGTCGTTATTTTACCGATTTCACTTGATTTAAGCGGTCTTTTTTTCATCCTGGTTTTCTACCACATAAAGAGAAGAGTCTTCTCTTTATGTGGTAGCCTTGAATCTGCTCCCAACATTGACCACTGTCAATGCATATTTATAGACTTTTCTAAAAAGTTTGTCCTGAGGAAGGAAAAGAAGATCGGCCTGATGAACTGCATTTGGAAAATCAACATCAAACGTTGGCCGTGGGATATGCTTAGGTGCAGGCAAACAAATCTGCCAGATGGCTTGTCTCATCAGCCAAAGCTTTGCAACATCTTCAGGAACTCGAGCTTCTTCTGCCAACTTTTTCACTGCACCCAATCCCTTCCAAAATCCTTTTGGGCTATAGTAAACTCTTGAAAGTTTTCTCTCCATTTTATTTTGTTTTCACAAAAATCGACTTGCAGCCAATCCCAAAGCCCGCAAAGCCATTCCTCCGGCATAAATCATTTTCACCTTGTTTCTGTTGTGTGCTCGGTTTGTAGAAGTTAGAAAAATGTGGTTCCTTCATATGAAGCTCTTCACTACGTGCCTTGTTGTAAAGCTTTAAAGCATAATCTGTATCAATCAAATTTTGATTTGCCTCTTTTTTGATTCGATCGTTTGCTGCAATCCAATCGAGAAGCTTTGTTCGATTCTCTTGATATTTCTCACAAGCTGCCTGGTATTTTTCTACAGCAATATCATGTCTCTTCTTCTCTTCTTCAACACTTTTTTTTATCTCCACTCAAATATTTTGCGAGATAGCTCCCACCAACAAATGAAGTTGCATTGATGAGTGCTCCTCCGATCATTATTGCTATGCTTGCCATTTTATTAATCGCTGGCAAGTTTTCATCGTGAAATTAATCTTGAAATTAATCTCAATATTGAGTTAGTCTGCGTTGTCGCCGCGAACTTAAATGCACTTCTTAAGATGGCAAAATCTTCTGTTCTTCAAGATATTTTTTGCTGCGATTGATCCAGCGATCACGAGAGCAAACTTTACATAGTTCATGAGATTTGAACTCGGATCAGAAGTCATCGGTTCTTTGATAACTCTCCTTGCTACCCATCCAATTCCAGCAGCCAATCCAGTCAATGTAGCTGAATCAGTTAAAGTGACTTGTTGTGCTGGCGGCGACAGCTCTGCCGGCTGTTGTGTCGGCGGCGACAGCTATGCCGGCTGTTGTGCTGGCGGCGACTGCTCTGCCGGCTGTTGTGTCGGCGGCGACAGCTCTGCCGGCTGTTGTGCTGGCGGCGACTGCTCTGCCGGCTGTTGTGTCGGCGGCGACAGCTCTGCCGGCTGTTGTGCTGGCGGCGACAGCTCTGCCGGCTGTTGTGTCGGCGGCGACAGCTCTGCTGACTCTTGAGATTCTTTTTCTTCCATTTTATTTCTTGGTACATTAATGTTTAAGTCATTCAAGTTCTTATTCAAGTTCTTTTTCAGGTTCTTCACAATTACTTTCTACTTCAACATTAACCACATTTGGTTTTAAGGGAACTTCAACATTTTTGGCAGTGAGAAGAGCAGCACTTGCGATCGCCATGTACTTTCCATACTTCAAACTCAAATTTCCTGCAATCATTCTGAGTTCTCTCTTCCCAATGAAGTCATCGTTCAGGTCTTTCATGAGTTTTCCTTCATCAACAGGGAGAAAATACGCCAATGCTTTACATGAAAGCTGAAGAAATGTGTCGACTATCGTATCGCAAGTCTTTGAAGATATTGAAGCTTCATATCTTTTGAAGTACTTCTCAACATCTTTTTCAGAAAGTCTTTTGACTTGATCCTGGGTGAGAGCAACACCAATATTTTCCTTTGCTCTTCCACTCGCAACGAGAACAGCAAGTTGCTCTCGGTGATCTGAATCACATGTGGGTTCTGCTTCAAGAATGTTCATAGCAATAATATCTGTGATTGCTTCTTGTTCTTTGCTCGCTTTGCTCATCTCTATTTTATTTCTTTTTCAAATTTTATATCGAAGGATGGCAAAGTGATAAAATCAGATGAGAATATTTCTCATTCTTCAGCTTTGCTATTAATTCAATTCGCTCTTCTTTCGTCAAATCACCTGCATAATCATCAAATGTCGCCTCCATGTCCTTAGCCGAAGGTGTGTAGAATAGAACCAGTGCAGCAATGTTTTCTCTGAATGGTTTTGCGATACTTGTCATCTGCTGTGTGAGCGCCCAAACGCTGATTCCCTTATGTCCTAAATGCTAAATTCACGAGTCCATTTGTCCTCTGCTTCACATCTTTTGAAGCAGCACAGTCATCAAGGATGATAAGTGTATTAGTTCCCTCATAAGCAAAACTAATGAGCTTGATACAAAAATCAATCTGGTTTTGGATTGGAGTCAAGATAAAGAGGTCCTTGTCTAAATCTCCAAAATTATCATAAGTTTTGTTGTGGATGAATGTTGGACAAATAAAAAAAATGTCATCGAATTTCTGATTGAATTTATTGCTCAAAAGACTGACGATACATTTTGTCTTTCCTGAATTTGTTGGTCCAACTGTTAATGCATTGCAAGGAATATTCTGAGGATTCATATTTAATAGTGGCCATGTAAAAAAGTTGAGATCTTGTCTTCTCTTATGATTCTCTTAACATCATTTGCGCTCAAAGCAATCTTGTTGATGGTCTCACTGAATAGCTCATGTCTGTGCGATCTGATTACATTCATCTCTCTCATTTGTATCTTTCCGCTAAATAAGCACTTTTTGTAGTCTTCATGAGTTATATATATATCTTAGTAACCAAGCGCGAGGGCCGTACTGGGAGAATATCGGCCCGAGGTCTTGACGGTACGGACCGAGCGCAGCTCGGTCCGTACGATAAAGACTGAGGGCCGATATTCTCCCAGTACGGTCCCGAGCAAGCTTGGTTAATAAGAGATTTATTATACGAGTGAAGTTCAAAGGGACACAACTGCGGTATCATTCGGGACCATTCGGGACAGTGCCCGGTCCAATACTTAGAGAATATTGGACCGGCAATTGAGCATTTTGATTGGTTGATTTTAGTTATTGGCCCTCTGACTGCCCGAGTCGTGTAATAATCTTCTTTATCACAGTCTTCTTGATTCCCTTGCACTTCTTCTCTTCTTTTCCCTCGAGAATCTTCAAGCTGTAAAGTTCTGCTCTCAATCCAACAAACTCCTCAATGATCTTTCCACCAGCCTGATCTTTCATCATGCCCACAACTTTTTTGTTGCAACCAGTTGGGATCTTTGAAATGTGGTCTTTTGGAAAGTTGCTGGTGTCAAACTTTTCTTCAACATCTGCTGCTATGTCCTTGTAAAAGTCTTCAGTTTCAATTTCATACATGAGATTGTCATTGTCTGTGAAAAGAAGCTTGGCTTTATCTCCATATTTCTTTTTTATGTAGTTGTAGTGGAAATCGTACATCAAAGTCTTGCTGAGATCAAGAATAGCCATTCCACAGAAAACTGGCTTGTCAAACTTTATTGATGTTCTCCCCATATGTATTGCAATGAGATTTTCGTCAAATATTGTGCAATGCTTGAAGTTTGGTTTTGCTGAAAGCTTTTGTGCTTTCTTTCGATTGTTGAGAAGCCCCACATCAACTCGTTTCCTGATGTTTTCCATTGTTTTTCCAAAGACAGAGTTGTTCATCAACTTGAAAAAATCCTTTTCAAATTTATTCTTTGCATTCGTGCGCAAATTTGTGTTGAGCTCTATATAACTTTTCAGCCAAGGTTCTTCTTCAAATTTGATTCCTCTGTAAATCTTTTTTAGTCTCAAGCCGAGTTCAAGGCACTGTTTGAGATTCTGGTGAGGAATGATATATTTCTTCTTTTCGTTCAGATTTGGCAGAAAGTTCTCGACTTTGTTTGAGCTGATCATGATTCTCTCTGGAGCAAGAGGATAATCATGAAGCTCTTTTGGATATTCGAGATCAACCTCAAGAATGCAGGGAATATTTCTCACGCTCGCTCTCCAGTCTCCAATCTCTGCTTGACTCACCCATTTGAAACCTCTGACAGGAAGAGGTTTGCACATTGCCCATCCATAAAGGTTGTTTGCGTCAAGATAAGCCAGATATTTTGATGGTTTTTCTCTGTCAAACTTTAAATTCATGTTGTTTGCTTTTCCATAGCGATTTGGGATCATTGAGATTCTTCCACGAATTCCTTTCTCAAACATCAGAAGCATGTCTGGATCACTCAAAAGTTCAAGCTCAACTTTTGTGACCTTCAATGCTGCATCCCAAGCCAATCCAGGAGCAGTGTAATACCAAGCAGGATCCAGATTGTAATTCTCAAGGCAGACGTTTCTGAATTCTTCAAACACATCTGCAAGCAAGAGAACATTTGATTTGAGATAAAGATCATGATAATCCCCCATGTTCCTCATCTTGAACTCATTCCAGATTTTCTTTGCGTGCTCGTAATCTTCCTCACTTATATCACAGTCGTTCAGTTTTGAGTAAAACTCTCTTTTTGGTGGAAGTTCTGTTTCTCCGAACTTTTCAATGCTGCTCATGTAATCATAAGAATAAACACCCTTTCTTGAGATCAACTTGATTTCAGCGTCCTTGAACACCTCCCCAGTTTTCTTCAGCTTATCATGGCTCAAATTACTGACCAATTTATCGAGAGAAGAAGCCATGAACTTTGAACTATCGATAAAGCGAAGCTCAGTCTTGATGTCAACTTCTTCTTCTTCTTTTTTGGTGTAAGAGCCAACAGCAACAGATTTGCTGAAGCTGATGTACTTCTCTTCATTATTGGGAATGCATTTTATGTCTCCCTCAGTCTTTCCAAGATTCTTGACAAAAAGATCAGAGTCATAACCAGCCAAGTTGTGAAATATGACAGGAGTGAACTTTGGCTTTGCGAATTGAAAATTGCAATTTTTGTGTGCAGCTCCTCTATACTTGCCAGTGATCTCTAACTTTGTCGCGCGAGTTGCCAATCAAAGCGAGCACAACAGGATCAGTGGGGAAAGACTCACCACATATCCAACAGCACTTCGCCGCATTGAACGTTTTCTTGTCTTCATCAGTGAAGTCATCTTCTTTTTATAGTCAAATTCTTTGTGAATCTTCTTGATGTTCTCTTCTAGCATTTCAACAAAGATCTGAGCAACATCCTCATCCTCAGACTTTGCTCTGTAGATGACTGGTCTTTGAGATTAAAGCTGGTCATCAAAGCAGACAACCTTACAGCAAAAGCCCGACGGCGTATGTTTTTGATATTTAATGGTGAAGCTCTTATCCCTTCTTGGCTCACAAGAGTGAATAGGTTTTGTGAAAGATTCAAAGTCAGCATAAACAACAAAGGGCACTCTTATTGATCGGTTATGTTTCTTGAAATTGATAAAAGTTCCTTTTTTTGGCATTTGAATCTTGACAGCCTCATTGTTTGCGCAGTACTCCTCATGGAGTGCAAGCTTTTCTCTGCTTGAAAAGTGATTCAAACACCTGAGACAGAATTCTTTTGGTTCGTTATGCTTTGAAACTTGACTCGAGAGAAGCCTGCTGGTGTTGTTTATCAAGCAGTAGTGCTTATTAGCAACTGCGTCTCCGTCTTTCTCGATAAGAAGAAGATTGATCACCTGATTCCTTTGAAATGAATGAATGAATGAATGAATGAATGAAATGAATGAATGAATGAAATGAAAGCCTTTATTTAAAGAGGGTAGCACTTCATAGCCAGAGGCTAATAAACTTGTGACCCTCACAGAT